TTTTTTTTTTTTTTTTTTCTTTGACGCTTCTTTTTCTTTAAACTCGTTCCTCTACGAACCGTCTCGAGTCGCCTCGGTCGTCCTTCTGTGACTTAATAATTGCTCCGTACGAAACACGTTCACGCAAACGTCGTCGTCGTTAGTTTATCGCACGTAATTATGCGGTGCAACGAGAAATATCCGTACGTGATTGCGTTTCGGCCGGGCGTGAAAGTTCGATCGGTTCAATACGGACGAAACTCCGTCGTTGTGTGAACGTGCAGTTTCTACTTACTCAGGTGATTTACGGCTGGTTGAGAGGCAATCACGAACATCTTCCTGTGCGACGGAAAGAATTCCGACGTTGGGATTATGCTTATCGATATTTCATTCTGGTTGTTTCCCGGACGGGTGCCGCCGCGATCGTTTCGCTGATTGCCGTGCGCGCTGTGTCTTAATGGTACACCTTGAATATTATGTCTGCAATTACTGACTATGTAGCTGCTCACCTAATTTCGAAAAAAAGAAAGAAAACAGGAGGAGAAAGGAATCGAAAAGTTCCCCTGCGATAATTGATGATCGTTTAGGGGGGGGGGGGGATTAAGCGAGTGCGCTAACATCGATCCTAAGGCGACGTCGATGACTGAGCTAACGAAGAGACAAACACAGAGGGTTTGCTCTCGCTTGCATAAGAAATTTCTACGAATCTCGATGATGCGAGATCAGAGATCATCGGGGATCACTTACCGAAGATATGATAAAAACAGCGAGTAAAGCAACGCCTAGCCAAAAGTACCAGGCTTCCCAAACGTGTCGTGGAGGCCGTCTTTGTATCAGCAGACAACACTGCGAGTTGCAACAGCAGTACAAGCAATATTTGTCCTGCGTGCACGCGTATGGTTTGATCGTTTCGCTCTCTTCCGTGCTGTTTCTCAGATCCGCGTTGCATTCGTAATAAAAACGTGCCATATCGTATCAGATCAATTGAGCATGATTACTTCCTTTCTATCGTCGATATTCGATATTCCGAGTTTATCAGAGGTTGTTCAATTTCATTGAAACAGTGACGAACGAACGGCAGCTCGCACGGATCGATGATCGTACATTGAGTCACGAGAGATCTAAAAAAAATCGCGATATTTTCAGAATAAACTGCGCTGCTGACGCCGTCTGTTCTGCTTACTTACCCGGTTAATGATACGCGAGAAACATGTAATTCCTCGAGCGTCCCCTCGCAATCTTTATTTTTCCCTTGGTCTCGCAGCCGGAACGACGTGGAATACTTTCAACGTGGTGACATACCCGAGGACAACTGTTTTGCCACTCATTTGTCCGTCCGGTGTTATCACTGACTGGACTGGACAGGCTAGCAATAATCGATAGAACAAGAGCTTGGCATGTCCTTATTCACACGCGACTTCTAATCGATAGACCGCGTTAAATTAAATGACCGCGTTTGTAATCGTTGAAAAGTCGAGCGAAGAAATTCTGAGCGACCTCTCGCGATTTTTCAATCATGCATGATTGATCGTTCAAAGGCTGGGGATTGAAAGGAAATTTGAAATTTATTGCGACTTTGTGCTTACAAAATACAAATTTATACAGACATCAATATGTGCAAACAATGAGGTTTTCAATACAGTGAAGTTTTCAACAAGGATAACGCCTGAAAAGTGAAGGGACAATAAATTTAATATTGAGTGGAATCGTGAGGCGGTGGAGGTGGTGGAGGACCCCTTGGCGGGAAAGGCGGTCGAAATTGCGGTGGTGGAGGCGGCGGTGGTCCACCTTGAGACACAGGAGGGGGCGGTGGATGCCTCCAGGTTGGAGGAGGTCGCGGTGGTGGTGGTTGAAATTGTCCAAATTGTGGAGGTGGAGGTGCTCCGGTAGATGAGGGAGGTGGAGGAGGTGGAAATTGACCTTGTGGTGGCCCGCTTACAGCCCAATGAGGGGGCGGGGGCGCCATCATTCTGGGTGTCGTTTGCTGCGATTGAGACGTTGGAACAGGCATAGGTGGCAGTGGAGGTGGCATGCCAGGTGGTAAGGGAGGATGCGTTGCCATTGACATTGGCGGTAATGGAGGTGGAGGAATGTTTGCTGGAGGAAAACCACTTGCTGGTGGAGGTGGAACAGGTGGTGGCGGTGGGTGACCCATAGGAGGACCTGGTGTTGACGGAGGTGGAGGAGGTGGTACAACCATCCCATGATGCATCACATGATGTTGAGGGTGATGAGTAGTTTGATGAGACGCCGCATTCGAATTTGGAATCGGCGGTGGTGCTAGCGGAGGAGCATCGGCGAACAATTGATGAGGCCTATCTGCTTGACTCAGTGGATTTTGAGCAGCTAGCAATCGTTCAGCAGCGCTACCGTGTCTTTCTCCTTTCGCGTCGCGTTTAAAGGCGTATGATACGGAAATTGGTCTGTTGCACAAATACTGACCATTCATTGCTTCTATACTTGCGTCAGATGCATCGAACGATGCAAAATTTATAAATGCAAAACCCTTGGAATTTCCCGTCTCAGGATCTCTCATTATCTGAAACGTCGACACTTGTTATATACTTTAAAAACTCTCATTTTCAGTTGTTGCTTTTTATTAGCAAGTATTACCTTTGGTGTTTGAAGAATTACTCCAAATGCACTGAACGTGTCATATAGCAGTTTCTCATCTACTTCTGGATCAAGATTTCCAATAAAAATATTAGCTCCAACATCTAAATTCTTCTGATGAGCACTTGCTTTGTTTACTCTTATTGGTTTCCCATATAATTTGATCATGTTCATTATCTTAATAGCATAATCTGCATCTTCTTCGCCCATAAATTCTACAAACCCATAGCCTTGATGCATTTGAGTCACTCTATCTTTGGGCATATGAACATTAACTGGAAAAATTTTAAAGAAAATTTGATTACTTTTATGTAAAAATAGAGGATATAATGATGGAGAATAATACATACCCACTGGTCCTGATTGGACAAAAAGTTCCCACATGAGAGATTCTGTAACTTTGTCATCCAATCCACCCACATATATTGTGGCATCTAAAAAATATAAAATATTTTGTTTAAAATATGAAAATTTGATATATATTCAATGCAAACTTCTAGAATTATTAATTTATAAACAAAGTTTATGTACATATAACCTAGCATAATGATATTTTCAGTTTTTATTATTTCACAATTACTTACTTCACAATTAATAATTTAAATATATAAAATTAGTTATATAATTGCAATTAAAATTCTAATGAAAAAAAAGTCAAAATATTGTAATATATACAAACATTTACCTTGATTACGTTCGGCAATAGGACCGGCTGCCATGATTCTTGAACTTGTAATTGGCTACACTGATATTGTCACTATGTTATCATTGAATAGATATGTCACTAGATATGTTACAAATAATGTTGTTTATTGTAACAAATTTCAATTGCTAAGTAAATAAATTTTTAACATAGAAAGAAAAAACGATAAAATTTATTTTAACATGTAATGATACAAACGTAAAACAACATTAAAATTTATAATGACATTCAATAACACTTATCCTTAGGTTCACTTAAATGTATTTTTGAGTTTTTAAGAAGTACTGGTTCCTTGTGCTTCTTGAGTAGCTAAAACAAATTCATTAATTAATTTTATACGTACAAATTTAGTACAAATTTAGTACAAATCAGTCTGTACTGACTGTCTACCTTTGTAAGAATATTCTAAAGCAGTTGCTATAGTTCTCATATCCCCCTCAATACTACGTGCCCAATTTTCAGCATCGCCAATTTCTTTTAATGCACTGGAAAAAGCTTCCACTAAATTCAGCCATGATTGTGTTTGTTTTGCAAAATTTGTTGCGCTATGTTGCAACTGTTTTGCTTCTGCATCAAGTTTCTTCTGATTGAGATATGCTTGCGCCACTCTATATCATAAAACATTTGTTTAACAATTACATTGTATTTGTTTCTTTAAGAGATATTTAAAACTTACCCAACATTTAAATGATCAACTAAAGCTTGGGTTAAGTTGTTTGCAGCTTGTACAGCTTCCTTTCTCTTTTGCTCTGTTAAAATAATGTTCAATGTAGTTGTTTGTAATTCTAATCAATTTATTGATCAAAAGTATGTTTCACCTTGTCTCTCCTTTCTCGCTGCTTGTTTACTTTGGTGCTCTTTTACAATGGCAGATAACATTTTTGTTATTAATAATTTGTATCAATAGATTACATTTATAATAAATACTAGGTTTTTTTCCTTTAAATATCTATAAGTAATACTACTGGATTTACTTCTTTGAAAATTGATTTCTCTATTTATAAGAAATTTATTCACGATTAATGATTTTACGTTAATATATTTACTGATTTTTAAAAAGATTTTAATTTACCAACTCGAATAGTAAAGTTGGTGTTTAAAGTATTACACTACTGACATATAGTATTTAAGCAATGTCTCAACAATTTACGTTCACTGGAAATGTTGACCAGTAAATAATAGTTTTACGTTGGAACAATATTTTCTAATAATAAACAACGTATCATCTGTCACTCAAGGATTGGTCAAAATTGTACAAAAGCACGAATTAGCATTCTTCGACAGAAAATAGTGTTTTCCCCTAGATGGCAGTATGTTCGAACTTTAGTTCTAGTTTATGGAATGGCGACTAGTTGGCTTGGCGACTGCTTGGTGTAAAGTCTACCTGTTGATAATCGAATTGAAATTCGCTTAAACGAAATTGCTGAATTATCACAGTTCCAACGAGGTGGACTGCTTCCAGAAAATTCTTCGTTCAACTCAATATTCTATTCTAATGAGGTGACGAATACTTTCATACAAAACAAGTGTAACTAAACAATGTGCCAGAACCTCAAGAGAATAAAGATTAGGAAATAACTATTGTCATTATTTGTGCATCTGGCATAAGTTCCTGAATAATGGTTCATTACGTTGCAAGTAGTTTATGAAGGACCTGATAGTTATAGATTTATCAGAGTTTTCATTCACATGCAGTGAGATAAATAAAAGTGTAATGTAATTGCTGCATAATTAGCTCTTTTCATTTTTCTTTGTTAAAGTGTGTATTAAAAATTTCATATGAGAGAATGGCAATTCGTATTACATTAGAATGTGGGCACTCGTCAGTTGTACGTATGCGTACCACTCCTCAGGGTTATACTCATGATTGGGAAGTATTTGTACGAGGTATTGACAATGCTGAAATCCACCACTATGTTGAAAAAGGTAAATATATTTTTGTAGAAATGTCATACATTCCTGGAATGCAAAATGGGGACATTTTCTGGTTTATATTCCAGTGGTTTTTCAATTGCATCAAACATTCTCAAGACCAAGGAGGATCTTGAAAGATCCACCATTTGTGATAAAAGAGTCTGGTTATGCTGGTTTTGAGATTCCAATTCACATTTATTTAAAAAATAAGGATGAAGGTAGCAAAAAAATAGAAATTTTATATGATCTTAACTTACAATCTAGTGGTCCTGCAATTACAAATGTCATAAGGCATACTGAAATAATTAATAATCCATCGGATGAATTTAGGAGGAAATTATTGAAGGGTGGCGGTGTAAGTGTATTTAAGTCTATTTCTACTTAAAATGCTATATAAATTATAATAATGAATGTCATATGTTTAGGTTCTCGTATCCGGTTCTGAAAATTCAGCTGAGAAGAGTGAACCCAAGGCCTTAACTATGGTTGGTAAACCAAAGATGGGTGGTAATGAATTAAGAAAGCACAAAAATATGGAATCGAAAACGTCGAATTCCTTCGCTGAGTTATTCGGGACACCGCTGAAACCTACGAAAGTTTCTCAAGACACTAGAAAGAATACAGTTCAGGAAAAATCGTCGGCTTCTAAATCGTTATTTACCTCAGAGAAGTCCGATAAAGGAGAGAAGACAAAACTTAAAGATAATTCACATAAGGATATTAAAAAGGAGAAAATAGATGATAAAAAGGATAAAAAAATCAAAGATCAGCCTCAGGATAAAAATCGTATTAAAGAGAAACCAAAAAGGCCTTCTAGTCCTGCAAATAGGAGTCATTCCACTCCCTCTAATAAAAGGCCGTCATCTCCATCAGTTCCAATAAAAAGACGTAGCCCTTTGCTTCCTCCTGCAAAGAGACCCACTTCTCCAAAATCAAAAGAAAAGGAATTGAAGAAGGTAGCCTTCGAAAAAGAGAAGGATAAGAATAAAGAAAAAGACAAAGTGAAAGATAATTCCAAGATCATCGATTCTAAGAACGACAAGAGAAAGGATAAGAAAGGGTATAAAGATGATCGGGATAAAGAGCGAAAAGATAAATATAAAGATGGAGAACGATCTGGCTCGAAGGAAGCTGTAAAACTACCCGAGAAGAAAAATAACAAGTCGGAGAAATCGGAGAAGTCCGAGAAAGAGAAGAGTCAGGAATACAAATCGGCGAAAGACTTACGTAAGTCACCGAAACTTCCAAAGGATAGTGAGAAATCAAAGGACGATAAACTGGTCAAGATGGAAAAGTCGGAAAAGACTGACAAATCCGAGAAAACGAAGGACAGTAAAAGTGAGAAAGACAGGCAGAAACACAAGCATAAAAAAAGGGATAGGAAGGATAAACGGGATTCCAGCAAGGATAGAGACAAGAAAGACAGACGCGATAGGGTAAAATCTTCAGCAGAGAAGCAAAATAATGTGCCTAATGTTTCAGTAACTAATCCTCTTTCGACACTGTTGGCGGAAATGCCGGAAAGGGATAGTAGCGATTCAGCGCCATCCGTAGATGACGATTCTTTCTCTGATGCAAAATTAGTGCCTATTGTTAAGAAAGATGTGGAGAATTTAACGGTATCCGCATCGCCGAGGGAAATGGCGAAGCCAGTTTCACCCGCAACATCTATGGACATGAAGAAGGAAAAGATAGACCGGAACAAAAGAGAAAAACCAAAAGGGAAAGGGGACGAGAAAGAAATACGAAAGAGAAAACGGCGAAGTGATAGCAAAGGCGACGAGGAGCCTGGTGTTAAAAAGGACAGAGGTCATTCTTCATCATCTCCTTTAGAACCAGTTTCATCGAGTCAGTCACCGGTAGTGGTGGACCAAGAAACAGTTCATATGAAGGACAAGGAAGATCGCGGTGTCATGGAACAAGTCACTGAGAAACGTATCGAGACAGAGGCAGAACAAGTGGCGCCTGATTCGACGAATAGTACTTTGGTTGAGTCAGAGATGGGAGAGCCTCCAGTGTTTTCAGAAGATTACGTGTCACAGTTGAAAGACTTGCAACAGAAGATTATGACTTTGCAGGATAATCAAGAATTGCAGAGAGTTGTTCAGGTAATCGCGGAAACTGGCCAATACGAGATCACAAAGAAGACATTCGACTTTGATTTGTGTGCTCTAGATCGTAGAACGGTACAGCGACTCCAACAGTTCTTTGCATCGTGACCGTCTGTAGCTTAAATCATGACATTCTTTCTTATGTGTTATTATATATGTATTAAGTCATTAAGTTATTTTAACTTATAAGAAAGATTTTTTCATATTAATATATTAATATACGAAATGTAAGAGCAAAATAATATAGGAGCCCTCTTAAGAATTTTATAGATATATCAATTTTTTCGATAAAACGGAGAGGGGCCAGCTTTTATCAGGATGTAGAACTCGGATTTTACATATATTCATCTTAGCTGCCGATTGTATATTTTCGATTGCATTATACACAAAGGCGTGCATAAATTACGTACGGGAAATACAAAAATTCTCCAACATGAATTCTAATCATGATGTATGATATGGCTTGCAATTTTAGATTCTTTATCGTTCACGAGATCAGCTTATTTTCTTACATTTTTACATATTTCCAACACTTGTTATTTTTACATTGTTTTATATATAGGTACTGTATAATATGTATAGCACAATTTGGCAATTGTATATTGTATCGTTGTGTCGTATTGTGACATTTACTATTTCTCTGAGGAATGCTAAAATATAGTATCTTCTACAGTGCATTTACTCGCGTTATATAGACACGATATATACTCACATATATGTATATATGTTATATAAATTCATTAAAAATATATATATTTAATTTCTTGTATGAAAAATTATAGAAGATTATGTTGACTTTCATGGTAATTGGAGTCGTTTCAAGATTTTGTGCATCACATTGTAATATAGATATATTCTTGATATTTCGCGGAGAATGTAGTACAGTTCATCATGCTTGAACCGGGAGCTATCTATTGTATTTTGTTAACATTTTCATATGCGATAATAATCTAAGAATTGTAGAAATGAATGATTTGATAATTTATACTTTATATTAACGATTGTTGATCTATTTCTTTCATTATTATTCTG